TGCCTCAGGTGAAATAAAATTTATATTCATATAAAATCCCATACATAAATGTTTATAGCAGCTTTATTCATAATCACTAAAACGTACCAAAATGCCTCTCAACAGGTAAATTAATAAACAAACTGTACTACATCCATACAATGTAATACTTAGCAATAAAAAGGAACAAGCAACTACATGGATGAAGCTTAAATACATTTTGCTAAGTGAAAGAAGCCAGACCCCAAAGGCTACAAAGAATATATTTCCATTTATATGACATCTTGGAAAAGACAAAACTATAGAAGCAGAAAACAGGTCCGCTGTTTCCAGGCTTTGGAAGTAGAGAGAGGGGTTGACTACAAAGGGTCAACACTAGGGAACTTTAGGGGTGATGGAACTGTTCTGTATGGTTCTGTAATGCTGGATATATGAAACTCTATTTGTTAAAACCTGCACATCACTGCACATCACAAAGTTTTACTTCTTAAAAATCAGTCAGGAATTCAGATAAACTCAAGATGAAATGCAGATGACCACAAATGAATCTAACTGCATTATAAATGAGTGACATAATCATAATCAAGAAGGTAGGGAAGACAGGAGCTATCCTAAGTAACTTTGGAAAACAGTGTTTTGACTGGATACTCTAATACTATATACTATATAATAGGCTAGAAAATATCTCCCCAAAGATACCCAGGTCCTATCCCCTGGAACCTGTGAATGTTACTTTATATGACAAGAAAAAGGGGGAGGGTCTTTCAGATGTTATTAAGATTTTGAAATGAGAAGATTATCTGAATTATCCAGGTGGACTCTAATGCAACGACGTGTTTTTATAAAAGAAAGGCAGAGGGAGATTTCACACACAGAGAGAAAGCCATGCGAAGGCAGAGCAGAGAGAGATTTGAAGATGCTGGCTGTGATGGTTAATTGCATGTGTCAACTTGGCTAGGATTTAGTATCCAGTTGTTAGGTCAAACACCATTCTAGATATTGTTGTGAAGGTATTTTTTAATGTGATTAACATTTAAATCAGTAGACTTTTCAGCAAAGCAGATTACTCTGGCTATGGCTTTATCCAATCAGCTGAAGGCCTTAGGAGCAAAGACAGGTTTCCCAAAGAAGTTTTGGCCTCAAGGCTGTAACATCGAAACCCTGCCTGAGTTTCCAGCCAGCCAGGTCTCCCTGCAGATTTCAGACCCAAATTGCAAAATCAACCCTTACCTAAATTTCCAGCCTGCCAACTTGTCCTACAGATTTCAGAAGTGCAACCTGAATAATCATGAAAACCAGTTCCTTAAAATAAATCAAGATGATAGATGAGAGAGAGAAAAGGGAGGAAAGGAGGAAGGAAGAGGGGGAGGGAGGAAAAAGGATGGTGCTATTGGTTCTGTTTCTCTGAAAACCTAACACAATGACCTTGGAAACTGGAGTGATGTGGACACAAGCCAAGGAATATCAGTAGCCACCAGAAGCTGAAACATGCAAGGAATGGATTCTCCCATAGCCTCAGGAGAAAGCATGTTCTTGCCTCGATTGTGTCTCAGTAAAACCGATTTTGGACTTCCACCTGTAAGAGAATAAATTCCTGTTGTTTCAAATCCACCAAGTTTGTGGTAATTTGCTACAGCAGCCATAGAAAACTAATATGAACTATAATAAATTTCTCACAAGGTCTGAGTTCACAATCCTGAAACTACATGTATCCTAGGGTTGAACAGAAAGTAAATAAGTTGTAGATAATAAAAGCCAGATTTCTCACTGCCAGAGAAAGGAGTTATACAAATAAGCAAAAGGGTAATACTAAAATGAGCTTCATGTTGCTGAGGTTACCTGTATAAGCCCGTTTGTTTTGTTTTGTTCTGAGCATTTAGTTAGATAGACACATGTATGTACAGATAGATTAGTAAACATTCATCTGTTTCCTAGCTCTGTCTACTGAGAGATCCTGGCTTTGTCCACTGAGGAGTAGTGATACCCCAGTAATTATTGTGTGCTCCTTTGAGGATAAATCAGAGTCTTGACTGATTTTGGAATATTCCTCTCATCTACTGAGAATACCTTTCATAATTGTAGAGAAAAAATTATTCTAAACATATTAAAATAGCTTTTTTCTTAAACATGATAAGGTATGCAGTGTTAGTTGTTAGACTAAATGAGAGAGGGTTCTGGAACTGGACCTCATATTTCTGAAATCTTGTTGAGTAGAAGCAGAGACAAATTGCTGTTCTGAAGATTACAGTAGATTTCATCTATCTTTAGGAGAATACTGCTCTTTAAAAGATTATCTTTAGGGCTTCCCTGGTGGCGCAGTGGTTGAGAGTCCACCTGCCGTTGCAGGGGACGTGGGTTCGTGCCCCGGTCCAGGAACATCCCACATGCTGTGGAGCGGCTGGGCCCGTGAGCCATGGCCGCTGAGCCTGCGCATCCGGAGCCTGTGCTCTGCAACGGGAGAGGCCACAACGGTGAGAGGCCGGTGTACCGCAAAAAAATAAATAAATAAATAAATAAATTACCTTTAGAAGGCTATTTGATCATACAAAATTATTTTTGTGATCTGTATTAGAAACACTGCACTTGCCTTCACCAGTTGGAGGACGTGTGACATTCAAACACAACCAAATAACTGATTCCTTCCTCCTCTTACCTTATACCTAGATGGTATTCAATCAAATGTACTTAAGGAATACTTTTCCAATTTTAGGTGTTAGGAGTATCAAACAACAAGACAATGTTATTATCACCTGGAACTTATCACTGCATAATGCCTCCTAATTGGTTTAACTCTAGTTTCTCCCAACTCTAACTGTATTGTCTGTTTAATCTTTCTTAGCCATTTCTTTTTCCTTGCAACTCTGGCATTTAAGATTAAGTTCCTTATTGGCCTCAGAAATCAAGTCAAAACACTTGAAGATCCTCTACAAATCAGTACCATATCTATTAAACTCAATTTCCTACTACGTATTATTCTCCACTCCAATTAGGCCTATTCTTGAATTTCTTCCACATACATTAAATTTGTGATTGCATTTTTCTTTTGCTCATCATATTGTCTCCGTTATGTAGAAAGTCCTCCCTGCCTCCTTTACCAATTCAGTTCAACTCTATAAATTCAACAAGCATTTAATGAAATCCTACTAAACAGTAGCCAGTGAAGTTAAGCAATAAAAAATGTAAACTAGAAAAAGGCATCAACCTTATACTCAAGAATTTTATCATCTACATACCTTTAAAGTCCTAATTCAAGTCCTACCTCTTCAATGAATCCTTCCTAGGCTTTCCGGTCCATGATGGACTTTCTTTTCTAATTCTTAAAGCACTCAATCTCTTCTCTAGCAGAAACCAAGTTATAAGCTGTAGAATTTGATTATCAACTATTTTATTCGCATGTGCTTTTGTTTCCTAAGTTTTGTCTCCTCAACTAAATTATAAGTTCCTTGGGTATAAGACTATATCTTTTAGCTCTTTTATATGCCCTCAAAATGTCACACACACTTTAGATACTTTAAAAGCACTTATTTTATTTTACTTCTTTTATTGATACATGAGAAATCTAACCATACTGGTTTGCTAGACATTTCTCTATTTAATGTAAAAATAAACCATGGAATCAGTGGGTTTCCCAAGGCTAAAACCAGTTTTGAACCTGTTACTAAATAATAAGCCAGTTACAACATTTTTATCCTTTCTCATATATAGTAAATGTCTTTATTACATCAAAACTACCAATTAATTAAATCATAGGGACATTAAAATTAATAGTTGGTATAAAAAGAAAAATTCCAGGTTTTTAACTGAAATTTTCATCTTTCAACCAGCGGTTGAAGGTTTTTTAAAACACAATCCAAAGTTTCCTTAAATTCTTTCTATCATTAGTTACACCATCCTTTGGACTTCTAAAAAGTTTGGGAAGGTTTACTTTAATACAGTTGTGATATGTTATGGATACCCTGAAGAAGCAAGATTGATTCTCACCCAAAATTTGGTTTGGATATTGAGATTGATGACACCACACATTCCAATAGGGTATGAAAAAGTTATTACTCATATAATAACATTTTCTGGGGAGAGCAGACCAGGCCTCACAAGCTGGTCTGAAAATGGCTTGATAGAGCAGAGAAGGGAGACTGGCTTTGGGTTTTTATGGTGGTTAGGGGTGAGCCATGACAAAAGTTCCTATACATGGTTTGAACTTCCCACTGATGCCAAAGAAGGAAACACCTGTGCTTTCTTACCAGCTTGACCAGATGTGGGGCAGAAGGGGAAGAAAACAGGGTGAGGCTCAAAATCTTTCAGCAGTCACACATCAAGATATGGATCAGACTCTTTATTTCTTGGTAACTCAATACAACTAATTTTAAAAAGCACAAATACAAAGATATTGAGCAATTATATTTATATAATTTCATTAAATTTTAATTATCTTCATTTAAGCTATATAATTGATTGACAAGCAAATACTACATATAAAACATAAAGGTGAATTTTTTGTTGAAGACAGGAAACAAAATTTTAAATGTTCTTCAAAAAAGTTTAAGCAAAAATATTAATGGTATCACAATTAATGCAACCAACCAATTTTCAGAAATTACTCTAGCCTTTCACATTTAATTTCCTTCTACTAAAGCTATTAGAATAAATGATAATATTTTAATTTTTGTTGTATTAGAAGAAAATAACACATTTTATTCACCATCAATAACATAAATTCTTTGAGGTCATTATTAAAGTACCACTCTTACTGCAGCAGTGAAGCATAGGTTCTGTATGAATATAACTTGCAAAATCAAAACCAAAATAAATAATGATAGTTAATGCTGCAAATAAAAACAAAAGTAGATGACACAGTCTTAATTTCCTTCAATATTTAAATAAATATAATCCAATAATGTTACTATGGTAACCATTTCTTTAATCAACAAAAGAAAGTGGTCTTCATAGTTTAAGTAATAATGTAAATTTCTGCCCTAGATGATTACAGAGTAGTAAAATAATTCAATAAATTAGTAACTAGTTCAAAATAAAGTAAATTGTGTGGCATTTTGTGAGGAGGATGAAAACTCTTTTTCAGAAGAAGGTGTTGAGTTTTGATCCTGTTCAAATGGAAACGGAAAACTAAAATCATCTCTTCCAGCTCCAAATGTATGAGTTGAAGAGTCCAATGGAAAAGAAAAAGTAAAGGTATCTTCTCCTTCTGCTTTCCCAAATAAGTTTCCTGAGGAAGATAAATATTACAATATCATGCTATTCATGTTACATAATATGATTAATTTGGTTATAATCTACCAAATTACAGTATACTGCACACAATAAATAGGGTAACATAGAATCACATATTTAACTGTTTTTCTCTTATGTGTAAAGCATTGTCCTTTGTACTGTGGAAGGTTAAACAGGTCCAAACTTAAACCCCACTTACATGTAATTTGAATTCAAGTATATAAAGAACTAGTATATAAGGTAGAAAGAGGAGTAATAAATTTCAAATGGACAGAATAGCACAGAGGAACAGAAATAGGTGTACATAGGAAATATAAGGGTAACAGAAGACAATTCAGCTTATCAGAAGCATTGAGAAATAACAAAGAGTTATTAAAATGGAATTAATAAAGATGAGCTTGTAAAGACTGCTGAATTTCCAGCTATAGGATCTGGACCTTATTTGATAGATAAGATGAACTCATTAAAAGTTTACAAACAGAACAGCTTCCCTGGCAGCGCAGTGGTTGAGAGTCCGCCTCCCGATGCAGAGGACACGGGTTTGTGCCCCGGTCCGGGAAGATCCCACATGACGCGGAGCGGCTGGGCCCGTGAGCCATGGCCGCTGAGCCTGCGCGTCCGGAGCCTGTGCTCCGCAACGGGAGAGGCCACAACAGTGAGAGGCCCGCGTACCGCAAAAAAAAAAAAAAACGTTTACAAGCAGAGATATGACAAGATTTGAACTGCTTTATAAGGATTACTCAGGAGAGAATGTGTAGAAAGCCTGAAACAGGAAAATGTTTAGAAATGGGGCTAACAGGAAAGAGATGATGAAAGCTTGGCATTACCTACAATCATAGAAAAGGGAATGGAGAAAGAAATGCTAGATTTGAGACATATTGTATAAGTCAAATTTATTCAACTATTACTTATTGCATAACTACAATATACTGTTTATGGCATTGTTCAAGGAAATTGACAGAACAGTGAAAAGGATTTTATAGTTTTAAAAGGAATTTTTGAAATCAACTTTACATAAAGAATTACTTGGTTAGTGATTCCCAGAATTGCCTTTAAGGAAAAATATTGTTTTTCATTCATTATATTATTTAAGACTATAATTATAAAAATATATTTTCAACATCTTAATTAGAATTTTTAATTACTATTAAACAATTTTAAATGTACGGTAATCCAAAGACTTACTTGAAATGCCTTTTAAAGCATCTATATTTTTTCCACAGAGAACAAATTCAATTAATATGTTAAGCAAAACAATTTACTTTGTGCCACTTTGAAATTTCATATATTTTCAAATATCTCAGTTATTTTACCCTAAATGAAGCTGAGCCAACCAGCAATAGGGTGGGTGGGTAGATGGATGGCTGGAGGGATGGACAAATCAGGACGGACTGATCCTTGGGTTCTTCCTCTCTCCCTTTCTCACTTCAGTATATATCCATAAGACTTAAACAAAGGAAAACAGCTATAACATAGCTATAGATCCAGAAAGAACTAAAAATATTGAATCTCCCTTTGAAACATGAATTTGACATTATTTTAATTTCAGAACAAAAGAAGTTCATATGAAGTCTTCATAAAACTCCTGTGATCACCTTAAATAAAATAATAGATTACTGTACAAGATTACTGTGTAGTCTAGGTGCTGTGGAGAATTCAAAGGTAAACAAAACAAGAGTCCCTGTCCTCAAAGAACCTATGATTACAAAAGATTTTATATATATTCATAAATAATGACAGTATAATAATGGTATAGATACAAAAAAGTATTTTAAAAAAGACATTCAGAAAGTGAAAGAGCTTTTTTTCAAAATAGAAAATAAATTTTATTTCTATGTTAACGATGACTAAAAATTCAGAAAAATATCTTAAAAATTTATAATTTGTAATAGTATGTGCAGAAGTCGTATACCTAGAAATAACCTAATTAAATATGGCTACTTTACTTTTACCATGTTTTAAAAATGACTAATGGAAAGTCAATTCCAATTGCTGTCCATCTATTGTTGATCTGGGAAGTTTTCATAGACTCAGTTACTTAGTCTTCAGATAATATCCTCTTTACTTTCTGTTAGGCAACCAGAGCCCCAAGTTTTACAGCTTGGGGAATAGTCTTCATCTAGGTCCTTTTAGGGAGAGACCTTTTTGGAATGGAATGTCAAAGGGGAAAAATAAAACGTTCTGTGGAAGAGAACCTGGTCTTGAAAAGATGGTTAGAAAGTGATAGAAGTTGAGGATTTCAGGAAGAAAAAGTGGGTAAGAAAGTGTGGGCAGATTTGGGATGCAGTGAGTTCTTCAGTATGGCCAAAGCACAGATTATTTTTATAGGAGAAAAGGTTTAGGAGCTAGGTTAGAAAACTGGGAGCATAATTTGCTACTCCAGGGGAGCCACTAAAGGTATTTAACCAGGGCAATGAGATGGCCAACATTATGCATAAGGAGAGTAATTGGGGTATGATCTATAAGTAGGCGAAAAGGATGAAAAGACCAATCACAATGTTACTGCAATAGCCCAGGTGAATGGTAATAAGACTGTGAAATATAATGATTTCCATATAATGAAAACAGAAAAGAAAATAAATATTTCAGAGAGAGAACTGATAAAACTTGATGACTAGCTGAATGTAGTCACAGGCACAGAAAGAAGTTAAAATTAACCCTGATGTTCTGAGTCTTGGCAACTAGAATAATGGAGAGACCATTAGGTATATCAGAAAGAGAACAAGTTTGATTTCAGATATACTGAGTCTTTAATGTCAACAGATGCCTTAGATATAAAGATATATCAATTATACAATTATAAATAAGGTCCTACCAGACGACTTCACTGGTGACTTTTACCAAACATTTAAAGAAGAATTAATTGTCAATCTTTCTCAAGCTCTTCAAAGAAATCAAAGAGGGAACATTTCCAAACTCATTTTATGAGGCCAGCATTACCGTCATACCAAAGCCAGAAAAGGACACTACCAGAAAAAAAACTACAGACCAATATCTCTGATGAATATAGATGCAAAAATTCTCACTAAAATACTTGCAAACTGAATTAAGCAGCATGTAAAAAGGATCATTCATCATGCTCAAGTGGGATTTATACCTGGGATGCAAGGATGGTTTGATGTATGCAAATCAATCAACATGATACATCACATTAACAGAATGAAAGAAAAAAATCATATGATCATCTCAATAGTTGCAGAGACAGCATTTGACAAATTCAACTCATTCATGATAAAACTCTTAAAAAATTACGTATAGAAGAAACTCACCTCAACATAATAAGCATAATAAAGGCTATATACGATAGGCCCATAGCTAACATCATACACAATAATAAAAGATTGAAAGCTTTTCCTCTAAGATCAGGAGCAAGACAAGAGTGTCCACTCCCATTCAACATAGTACTGAGAGTCCATGTCAGAGCATTCAGGCAAGAAAAAGAAATAAAAAGCCTCAAAATTGGAAAGTAAGAGGTAAAATTATTTCTATTTGCAGATGGCATGATTTTATATATAGAAAATCCTAAAGACTCCACCAAAAACTTGTTACATCTAAACAACAAATTCACTAAAGTTGCAAGATACATAATAAACATCCAAAAATCAGTAGCATTTCTGTACACTAACAAATTATCTGAAAAAGGAATAAAGGAAATGATCCCATTTACACCAAAACAATTAAATACTTAGGAATAAACTTAACCAGAGAGGTAAAAGACCTCTACTCTGAAAACTACAAGACACTGGTGAAAAAAATTGAAGAGAGAAATAAATGGAAAGGTATCCCATGTTCACAGATTGGAAGAATTAATATTGCTAAAATGCCAATACTACCAAAAGCCATTTATAGATTCAGGATGATCTCTATCAAGGTTCTAATGACATTTTTTACAGAAGTAGAAAAAAAATCCAAAAATTTATATGGAACCACAAAAGAAAAGCCAAAGCAATCCTGAGAAAGAACAAGGAGGGTGGCATCACACTCCTGATTTCAAGTTATAGTAATCAAAACAGAATGGTACTGATATAAAAACAGACAAATAGATCAATGGACCAGAACTGAGAGCCCAGAAATAAACCCAAGCACACACAATTAACTGATATTTGACAGGGGAGCCAAGAATATTCAATGGAGAAAAGATAGTCTCTTCAATAAATGGTGCTGGGAAAATAGGATATTCATATGTAAAAGAATGAAACTAGACCCACTACCTTACATCACTCACAAAAATTAACTCAAAACAGAGTAAAGACTTAAATGTAAGACCTGACACCATGAAACTCCTAGAAGAAAATATAGGAAAAAAGATCCTTGATATGAGTCTTGGGAACAATATTGGATATGACACCTAAAGCACAAGCAACAGAATGAAAAATAAATGGGATTGCATCAAACTAAGAAGCTTCTGCACAACAAAAGAAACAATCAACAATGTGAAAAGACAACTTACAAAATGGGAAAATATATTTGTAAACCATATATCCAATAAAGGGTTAACATCCAAAATATATAAAGAACTTATACAACACAACAGCAAACAAACAATTCAATTAAAAGATGGGCAGGGCTTCCCTGGTGGCGCAGTGGTTGAGAGTCCGCCTGCCAATGCAGGGGACACTGGCTCGTGCCCCAGTCCGGGAAGATCCCACATGCCACGGAGTGGCTGGGCCCGTGAGCCATGGCCGCTGAGCCTGCGTGTCTGGAGCCTGTTGCTCCGCAACGGGAGAGGCCACAACAGTGAGAGGCCCGTGTACCACAAAAAAAAAAAAAAAAAAAAAAAAAAAAAAAAAGGGCAAACAATCTGAATGGACATTTTTCCAAAGAAGATATACAAATGGCCAACAGGTACATGAAAAGATGCTCAACGTCACTAGTTACTAGGAAAATGCAAATTAAAAACACAATGAGGGACTTCCCTGGTGGTCCAGTGGTTAAGAATCTGCCTGTCAATGCAGGGGACATGGGTTCGATCCCTCATCCAGGAAGATCTCACATGCTGTGGGGCAACTAAGCCTGTGCACCACAACTACCGAAGCCCGTGCACTCTAGAGCCCGCGCACCACAACTACTGAGCCCATGGGCCACAACTACTGAAGCCCGCACACCTAGAGCCCATGTTCCACAACAAGAAAAGCCACTGCAATGAGAAGCCTGCACACCACAACAAATAGTTCCCGCTTGCCACAACTAGAGAAAGCCTGCGTGCATCAACGGAGACCTAGTGCAGCCAAAAAGAAAAAAGAAAAAAACAACAGAAACACAATGAGATATCTTCTCATACCTGTTAGAATGACCATCATCAAAAAGACAAGAAATAACAAATGTTGGAGAGGATGTACAGAAAAAGGAACTCTTGGGCTTCCCTGGTGGCGCAGTGGTTGAGAGTCTGCCTGCAGGTGCGGGGGACACGGGTTCAAGCCCTGGTCTGGGAAGGTCCCACATGCTGCGGAGCAACTACGCCCATGAGCCACAACTACTGAGCCTGCGCACCTAGAGCTTGTGCTCCGCAACAAGAGAGGCCGCGACAGTGAGAGGCCCACGCACTGCGATGAAGAGTGGCCCCCACTTGCCGCAACTAGAGAAAGCCCTCGCACAGAAACGAAGACCCAACACAGCCAAAAATAAATAAATAAATAAAATTCAAAAAAAAAAAAAAGGAACTCTTGTGCACTATTGGTGGGATTATAGACTGCTAAAGCCACTATGGAAGACATTATGGAAGTTCCTCAAAAAATTAAAAATAGAACTACTATATGATCCAGCAATTCCACTTCTGGGAATATATCCAAAAGAAATGAAACACTAACTTGAAAAGATATCTGTGCCCCTATGTTCACAGCAGCATTATTTATAATAACGAAGATATGGAAATAACCTGTGAGTGAAATGATGGATGAATGGATAAAGAAGTTGTGAGATATCTAAATATGCATATACAAATATTATTTGTATATATATGCATATACATGCATATACAAATATTATTCGACCATAAAAAAGGAGAAAATCCTGTCATTTACAACCACATGGATGGACCTTGAGGGCATTATGCTAAGTGAAATAAGTCAGACCTGTATGATCTCACTTATAAGTAGAAACTAAAAAATTAGAAAAGAAAGAAACCAAACTCCCAGAAAAAGAGATCAGATTTGTGGTTACCAGAGGTGAGGGTATGGAGATGGGAAATTGGGAGAAGGTGGTCAAAAGGTACAAACTTCCAGTTATAAGATAAATAAGTACTAGGGATGTAATGTAAAACATGATGCCATAGTTAACATTACTGTGTTATACATATGAAAATTGTTAAGGGATTAATTCCTAAAAGTTCTCATAACAAAGAAGAAAAAATTTTTTTAAATTGTATCTATATTTGATGATAGATGCTAAGTAAACTTACTGCAGGAATCATTTCACAATATAAGTATTTCAAACCATTATGTAACACACCTTAAATTTATACAGTGGTGTATGACAATTTTATCTCAGTAAAACATGGGGGGAGACTAAGAAAAGTAAGGTCCAGGAGTTTAAGAGAGTTAGGAGAAGTCAGGGAGGGAAGATATGTATTATAATATTTGAAAATGCTGAAGTGAATGAGTGTCAAATGAGAGTGTCAAAGGGGAGAATGTAAATAGATTTAATATTTTAGATAGTCGCATTTAAAGAATGTCTACAATTGCTGTATTCATTCTGGCCTTGTGGCATTTAATAACCATTTATGACAATTCCAAAATTTATGTCTCACCCCAATGAATTCCAGGTTCATATATAAAATTTCCTACTTACTTTCACTCAGATATCTAATATAGGCTTTTCAGTGATAACACTTCTAAAATTAAACTCCTGTCAATCTCAAATTAACTTCTACAGCCTTCTATATTTCAACAGATGTTAATTCCATTCTTAAAATTATTCAGGTCAAAATCTTGGCATCATCCTTCTTTCTCTTAATCCTTACATCCAGTCCATAAGCAGATCCTTACAACTCTACCTTCAGAAAACTTAATAACCAAAATCTGATCTTTCTCACCACTTCCACTGACATCATCCGCACTATTATCAGTTCTCACCTGTACTATTTCAATAGCTCCCTGATCTCCCCCACGTTTCCATATGGTCTGTTCTCCGTAGAGGAGTCAAACAATGCTTTTAAAACCTGTCAGATCATTTCAGTCCTTGCTGAAAACTCTCCAATAGCTTCCCATCTCAAACAGAAAAAAAAACACCCCAAAGTCCTTAAATGGTCTAAGTGTGCCCTATGGTTTGCTCTCCCTCCAACTTCTCTGATTTAATTTCTTACCAGTTTTTCCTTCCTTATTTGATTCCAATCATATCAATTAAGCTGCTGTTCAATGAACATGCTGAGCACACTCCCATCTCAAGGCCTTTGAACCCTCTGCCTAGAACAGTTATCCCAGTAGCTTGTACCTGCACCTCCTTCAGGTCTCTGCTCAAATGCTCCCTTTTAGTGATGCCTTCTCTAATTCCCTTGGAACACAGCAACTATCTTCCCAATCCAACTACTCCCTATTTCCCTTACTCTGCTTTAGTTTTCTTCATAATATTTATCCCCACAAGTGAGTAGAGTTAACATCAGGCCTGTGCTGATCCAGGCCCACCTGGAAGAATGACCTTGGAGTCTGACTCCTCACAGCACTGTTTTCTTAGAAAATAAGAATTAAGGTAAATGTATAATGATGTGTTTGACTAGTCTACTGGGCGGGACTACACCTGAATTAGAGGACCTGTGACTCGGTATATAGTCCTTCCTAGCTCTCAGGTGGGAAACCAAGGCTGCAGCTTTTGTGTGTCAAGGTGATTTACCTGCATCATGCCTTTTGTCCATAGCAGCTTTACATATCCCATGTAGATGAGGTAGCAAAAGAAAGCTTATTATTTGGGTTGCCGGTGGGCCTCTCAATAAGATAAAGACACTGTACATGCTGTTATCTCCTATCCTGTATCTTTCTATAAAGTTAAGTAAATCTAAGACTAAAAATTGTGACAGTGAGTCTGACTGCCAATTCAAATCTATATGAACTGTTTTTTAGTGCAGTACCTTACATATAATCATTGTCTATTTTCAGTTTACCCCACTAGAACATAAACCCTATGAGAATTTTGCATTCTTGTCCACTATTCCATCACCAGAGCCAGAAGCGGTACCTGATGTAAAATATACTATATATAAATACATTTATTTTTATATGTTGAATAAATGAACTAATCAACGGATAAATGAAGAAAGAAGGTCCAATAAAAAGTAAGCCCCAGCGAGACAAGACAAAATCCAAAAACTCCAGAAGGGAGATGGGAGTAGTCAACAATATCAAATGCTGCAAAGTGACTGAATATGATAATAAAAATAAAATACTCATAATATTTGATAATTAGTAAGTCATTAGTAATATTGGAAAAAGCAAGTTTTGGTAGAGTAGTGAGAGAAGAAGCTAAATTGCTAAAAAATAATAATAATAATTAGTGAATCGTGCAGAAGTAACGAATATTTTTAAAGAATAAACTGAGTGCCTAAGAAAATCAGAGACAAACTAAACACAGTGAAAGTTAACATGGTTTTATATATAGCAAACTTCAAATCACTTACCAGTTTCTTGCTGTGATGAGAGAAGATTTAAATTTCCTGCAGAATAATGTTCATGAAACTGGAAAAAAATTTCCATTAAATATTACTCATGAAATCAGTAGAACAGTAGGTATAGCATTTATATTAGACTCTAAAGCCTAGTTCGTCTAATAAGCATAATTAGAGTAGACAAAATTGCAACATTCTATATAGCGCATTATTGTAATTAAAACGAGATCTATCTTCAAAACTATCATTGACTTATATTAAAATAAGGTTTATTGATTTGACTGTGGCAATAGATAAAATATTAATAGGCTATATATATATATATATATATTATACCAAGGATACTTCCTACTTTGGAATATTAATATAACCTAAAATTCTAATTAACTTTGTTTTATTCTGAAGGCCTTTTACAAATCAGGTTGTTGTTACTGCTTTCCTGACTATAAAAACAATACAAAGTATTACAGCTTCATGTCAGTTCAAATAAAGTTTTGCTGCCAAAAGAGTCCATTTTCTCTGTAAAACAGGGTTTTCAAAAAATGGGATCATGAAACATAGTTTTCTGTCCTCTTTTTTTTCCTCTTAACATTGCATTATGAGCATTTTTCCACATAACTATTCTTTCAAAACCTTATTCTTTTTATGGCATTTTAATATTCCTCTAATATGGACATACAATATAGTTTCAATCATGCTTTTGTTTAAAACATTTAGGTTGTTTCTATTTTTTTCTAATATAAATCACACTTGAATATATACTATTATGCACAGATTTATACTTCTTTGAGCATAAGGAAAGCTGATTTTCCCAGAGATTTAATAAGGCACTTGAATTTCTTTTTCGGTGAATTATCTATTCACCAAATAGACTCTGTCCATAACTCTATTGAGGCAGTAATTTTCTTGCTGGTACATATAAGCTCTTTATATAATAAAGACCTTAACTGTTTGTGATATTATTGCAAATATTTTATAACACATTATCATTTTGCCTTTAAATTTTTTTAACATATAAAATTTTGTATGTAACCAAACCAAAACCCTCTTTATTTTCTTTTGGCTCTTCTTCCACTGTTTTTATGCTTAGAGAATACTTCCTTCTCTTAAGATCTGGTAAATATTCACCTATATTTCTTCTGAAATATTTTATGGTTAACATTTTAAAATGTAATGCATCTATAATATCTATTGGTGTACAGTGTAAGACAAATGCCTAATTTATCCCCACTAATTTGTGGTCCTATCTATATCGCATTCTAAATTCTTTTGTTTCGAGACATTTCCCATGCCATTGATCAATCAATCAATCCTTGTACCTTTACCACACTATTTTGATTGCTCTAGGCTTATAGGATATTTTAATATGTAAAAGTGAAGTTCCCCCTTATCAGTCTTCTATTTCATACTATTCTATTATTAAAATCAGTAGGAGCCATAATAATATCCTCTCTTTCATTCCTAATATAGGTAAATCTTATCTTTTTATTTGTCAATCTAGTAAGTTTATAAATTTTGTCAATTTTTTTCAAACAACCAACTCTGGCTTTGCTAATTTTCTCTATTGTTTGTTTTCTATTTCATTGACTTCTTATTTTTCGTAGTTTTTCATTCTACTTACTTTGGGTTTACTTTCTTCTTTTTTTAGCTTTTCAAGGTGGAACTTTAGGTCACCGATTACAGACCTTTCTTCTTTTCTTAAATGGTTAATTAAATTATTTAAAGTTATTTTGCTCTGGTTTTGTCAGCAACCTACAGTTTCTGATATGCTGAATTTTCATAACCATTTATTTCAAAATCTTTTCTAATTTCTTCTTTGATCCATGGCCTAAATATTTAGGACTTTCCTAATATCTTATTGATTTCTAATTTAATTCCATTATGATCAGATAACATACTCCGTATAATTTCTATCCTTTTAAATTTATTAGGAGCCATTTAATGGCCCAGAATATGGTCTGTCTTGGTGAATGTACCATCAGTGCTTGAAAAGAATAAATATGCTGCAGTTGTTAGATGTGGTATTCTATAAATGTCTGTTAGGTCAAGGGAGTCGATGGGGTTGTTCAGATTTTATATAAGATCTTTCTTGATTGTGTTGCCTAATTCTATCAATTGCTGAGAAAGGAGTATTAAAAACCTCCAACTAAGTTTGTGTTTTTGTCTATTTCTCCCTTTAATCCTGTCAATTTTTGTTTCTACATATACATGTAGTTGAAAAGACCAACTACCTACCTGAAAATTTTTTCACACTGAGAATATATGAAGTTTGTTTAGAATTACAAAGCCAAATTAATTTTTAAACTGCCTTTAACTGCAATTTAAATCATTGCTATCCTGAGATTCTATTTTATGAACTGATGTCAATTTGAGCCACCTGAGGTTGAAAACATAAAGATAATGGGGGAACGTTGTTATGCTATCAATACTCAGAATCTTTTAAAAATTGCCTCTGCAAGTGGTATTGGGAAAGTTGGAGAGCTACGTGTAAATCAACGAAGTTAGAACACACCTTCATGCCATACACAAAAATAAACTCAAAATGGCTTAAAGACTTAAATATAAAACAAAACACCATAAAACTCCTAGAAGAGAACATAGGCAAAACATTCTCCGACATAAATCATACAAATGTTTTCTTAGGTCAGTCTCCCAATGTAATAGAAATAAAAGCAAAAATAAACAAATAGAACCTAATCAAACTTACAAGCTTTTGCACAGCAAAAGAAACCTTAAACAAAACGAAGACAACCTACAGACTGGGAGAAAATATTTGCAAACGATGTGACCAACAGGGCTTAATTTCCAAAACATACAAACAGCTCATACAACTCAACAACAACAACAAAAAAAACAACCCAATCAAAAAATGGGCAGAAGAATTAAACAGGCATTTCTCCAAAGAAGACATACAGATGGCCAATAGGCACACGAAAAGATGCTTAATATCCCTAATCATCAGAGAAATGCAAATCAAAAGTACAATGAGATACCACCTCACACCAGTCAGAGTGGCCATACTTAAAAAGTTGACAAATTACAAATGCTGGAGAGGCTGTGGAGAAAAGGGAACCCTCCTACACTGTTGGTGGGAATGTAAATTGGTGCAGCCACAATGGGAAACAGTATGGAGGTTCCTCAAAAAACTAAAAATAGAGTTGTCATACGACCCAGCAATCCCAGTCCTGGACATATATCCAAACAAAATTATAATTCTAAAAAATACATACACCCCTGTGTTCACAGCAGCACTACTTATAATAGCCAAGACGTGGAAACAACCTAAATGTCTATCAACAGATGAATAAAGAAGATGTGGCATATATATATATATATATATATATATATACACAATGGAATACTACTCAGTCATTAAAAAGAATGAAATGATGCCATGTTGCAGCAACATGGATGAACCTAGAAATTATCATACTAAGCGAAGTAAGTCAGAAAGAGAAATACAAATACCATATGATATCACTTACATGTGGAATCTAAAATATGACACAAGTCAATATATCTACAAAACAAAAACAGACTCACAGATATAGAGAACGGACTTGTGGTTGCCAAGGAGGGGGGAGGGGAGGGAAGGATTGGGAGTCTAGGATTAGCAAAGGCAGACTTTGTATATAGGATGGATAAACAACAAGTTCTGACTGTCCAGCACAGGGAACTATATTCAATATCCTGTGGCGAACCATAATGGAAAAGAATATGAAAAAGAATATATATATATATATATATATATATATATAAAAAACTGACTCACCTTGCTGTACAGCAGAAATGAACACAACATTGTGAATCAACTATACATCAATAAAAATTTTTTTAAATAAAATAAATTGCCTCTGTTTTGTACTGTGCTCCAAGGAAGTTTAGTATTAAAGAATTAAACTTTTTGAGGTTGCAGTGTACAATTTTTTTAGAAATAAAACTTTAGCTTCTCATATTACCTGATGTGATGAGATTTCTGAATCAAATACAGAAGAATCAAATAAATTCAATCCAGGAGATCTAGAAGTATAACTCATAAGAAAAGAAAATCCAGGGGATTCCTTTTGTGTTTGACATTCAGTAGCTGTATTTCTATTTTTGATACAGAGAAATAAGAACTCATCAAAATGTTAAATACATATTATTAAATATTGCAGACTGGTAAGCACCATAGGCAATGGCACAGAGGTAAGAATTAGCATAGCAGGAAAAGGGAGGAAGTAGTTATTGAAGTGACAAACCTATGGAGAAAAAAACAAACCTATGGTTTTGGGTGGAGAATAATATTAACTAAAGTAGAATAATCAATTATAAAATGATAATAAAGAATTCCTACTAAGAATATACTGTCAGGCTCTATTCTATGTATTTTCATCATCATTAATTTACTTATTCCTCACAATAACCCTATGAGATAGCTACCATTATTATCACCTCCATTTCAGAGAAGAGGATTTTGAAGCATAGGAAGATTAAATGATTTGCTCAAAAGAATGTAAGTGCCAGAGTTGGGATTTGAATGTAGCAACAAAGATTCAAAGTCTAAGCTCTTAAGCCTGATGCTATACTGTCCCCAAGATCTTGAAAGCAGTCACAAAATTTTAGTCTTAATGAGAAGCCAGCCATGACAGATTGCTTCATAAGGGAGTTAAGTTATAAAATGATTTGGGAAAAATAATTAGACAAGACAGTATATAACACGTGGTTAAAACATGAATTCTGGAGGCAGAACTGCCTGGGTTTAAATCTCAACTCTGTCACCAACGAGTTGTATCACCTGTGATTCTGTTTCCTCATCTATAAAATAAGGATAATAATGTACTTACATCTCATAAAGCCGTTGTGAATATGAAAGAAGCAATATTTATTAAATGCTTACACATAGTGCTATTAAGTGCGTGTTAAATAATAGAAGTCTGAAGATACTTCTATAACTCTCTCCATGACCATTAATGAGTCATTTTACAGATTGGTTTTCTCATCCATAAAGAGAGGTTTTAGTATACGATTGCCACATACTTTTACGGTTCTCAGATTTGATGATGAGTTCCACTTTGAACATGCTGTGTTTGAGTCAACAGCATGACATTCATATATAAAAATCTTAGTAGCAATTTAAAAAACAGAGTAGAACACAGGTGAGAGATTCCTGATGAAGTGAAATCTGTTTGACATATATTTTAGAAGAATCTCAGGGTTCAGATTCAAGAAAAGATTGAACTAAACAGCTTGAATGCAGCACTATTTTCTTGGCTGTAAACTACAAATCTGTATTTTCCAAAGTTAAATAATGATGTTACAGATATTTATGCCTACTAAGGTTACTTAAAAGAATGGTAACTCTTGTTTTAGACACTACAACATTAAGGAAAAATGACTGCTGGAACATTATTCAATGATGTACACAACCTACCAAATGTGATAGTAACTTTTTAGCTCTACATTTAAAATTTTTCCATACATTTTTTATTCTTCTGAAAATCTTAAATCTTATACTGTTGAACTTGATAAGTACTCAGGATCTAGTCCACCTTCAGCTAAATGTTTCAGGGAAAATGGGGAAGAGGATCTATGAAATGAGATGGCAGAATGTTTATAACTGTTCCAACAGAATGATAGGTACATGAGAGTTCATTATACTACTCTCTCTCTCCTTTGTATATTTGAAATATTCCATAATAAAAACTTTTAAAAGTTACAGGTATTAGGCATTTTACTATTCCTATCAATTACTTACATAACTCAATATGTAGATTCTTTCATTATAATTACTAATTAAAATCTTACATTTCAAATGAGGGGGTTTTAGGTAATTTCTCCACAGAGTCAGGTGTTCTCACAGCTTCAGGAGTCCTTAAAAATAAAGGAATTTCAGGAGTTCGTGGAAAAATCTCAGCCCTTTCTTCTACTTCATCGCTATTACTTTCTATTGGCTTCCCCAAATGTTCGGCATATGTAACCTGCAGATTCAAAGTAACAGAACACTATAAAAATGAATGTTATTGCATTAATAATCTCATACATGTAAAAATATGAGGTTAAAAACATCATATTAACATACGATGTTATCATTTCATAGACAAAATAAGTAAAATAATTGGTGAAAGTGATATCAAAATATATCTGTTCAAAAAACAGGAAAATAATTATTTTTGATTTTCCAATTTTTCTTTTCTTCCCAGCTCTATCTCACCTACCCCTACCTGAAAAAGTAACTCATAACCAGGACATACTCAGATTGATGAAGAAAAATGGTTAGGAATGATTTTTCTTTTAAAATTTCCACATCATGCTCTGGGTCAAGATTTGTATACGAATATCCCCTTGAAAGAAAAGAGCAATCTTGCTCTCACTTGTTATGTTCTTTGCACTTTTTGCCCTAATAAATTCATTATACTACTTTCCCTGCAAAGATTGAGAACTTGAATACTAATTTTCCTTTATATCATTTTGTAGGCTAGGAATATGATTTCTCAAATGTTTTGTTACCAGATCCCATTACGGAAACAGTTTGGGTCCCTCCAGCAAAAAAATGAAAATGTGCTTTTTACCTGTATTTCTTTACAGCAGAATACTACTCTTGTTTCTCCTGTCTTATCCCTTAGTAGCTACGGTACATTGCCTACACCTATCATCGCTAAAGCTTTCCACTATTAAAAAATATTTTGAAGATACTTTTGTGGCAGCCTGGGCAAATAATTCAATCTTACCAAACAAAATTGTTTTCTTCAGTTATGATTTAGTTGTTGTGGTATCAATTATATATAGTCAATAATTAATGACAATTTTTTGTGTAAATTTTCATGTAAACTTTTTGTGGCTTCATTTTTAAATCTATAACTCCTCCAAGGGATAGAATCTGTAACATCACAGCAACTTGATTACCAAACTAATAAGATCTAGAACTCACATAAATAATCTTCATTATACCAAACTGAAATTAAAATGGAAACAGAATACTTTAAATTGTAATATTTTGCTTAGAAATTAGAAACCAAACATTTGACTTACTTGTGAAGTACACTTTGATTCTCTCAATTGTTTTACCGTCTCTTTATCTCCACACTCAGCATCTGTTTGTTATATGAGAACAAAATATATTTTGTTTGTAATTTAATTGTAAATAAAACATATTAGCCAAACCATATGAAATTACCAATATTTAACTATTCTGGGTCTATAAAAATGGAAATTTTAGATAGTTCAACTCGATACATAAAGATAAGAGAATGAAACCTATATGAAGAGTTTAAGGTACGAAATTATAAAGAACACCCCATGTAACCACCACCTAGGTAAAGAAATAGAACATTATAAGGCCCCATATTCCACATATCTTCCTCCTCATCGGTAAACACTATCCTGACTTCTGTAATAATCAATACCCTGATTTGCTTTATACAGTTTTATCACCTAAGCAATACAGTTTTTTTTCCTGTTTTAAAATGTTATATGATGAAATAATAATACATTTGTCGTGCTTTTTTTTGTTTGTTTAGTATACACTTATGAGATTCATTATGTATTGTTGCATATAGACATAGTTTGCTTCCTTTTACGGATGTATTCCATTGTACAAACACAATATATCTATCTATCCATTCTACTGCAAATGGACATTTGGGGTGTTTCTGCTTTGAGGCTATTACAAACAATGTTGTTAACATTCTTCTACATATATACTTGTATATATGTACTTGTATTTCTCTAGGTATATACCTAGGAGTGGAATTACAAAATATAGGGTAGTGTATCTTTCATTTTACCAGATGTTAAACTATTTTCCAAACTTTAGTTTTGAAACTATTCACCAATTTTTGTTGTGGCAGCTAGCCATCCTGAGCTATCCTAGGAAATCATTCGATTTCACCAGACAAAATTACTAGTTCCAATTATAATTTAGTTATATGACAATATATTTCATTTACAAATGACAGTCCCTACCAATAGTTATGAGAGTTCTAACTGTCCTACATTCTCATCAACATCTAGTATTGTCAGACTTTCCGAATTTTGCTCATCTGATGGGTGTATAATATCTCATTGTGGGTTTATTTTTCAGTTTCCTGATTTGTTGAACATCTTTTCATATGTTTATCTGCCACAAAAGTTTCTCTACTTGAAGTGCCTATTCATTTATTTTGCACATATTTCTTACTGGGTTGTCCGTATTTTTATTCTTGGTTTGTAGAAGTTTTTTATACATTTTTGGAAACTAGTCCTTTGACAGTTTTATGTATTGGAAATATATTCTCTTGCCTCCCATTCTTTTCATAGTGTCTTTTGATGAATAGAAATTCTTAATTTTAATATAGCCAAATTTATCAATTTTTCTTTTATGATTGGGCTTTTTAATTCTTTTTAAGAAATTATTTCCTATCTTAAATAAATGTTTCCCTATTTGGTCATCTGAATGCTTTATAGTTTTGTCTCTTGAGTTCAGTCACACTACTATTTTCACCACATATTAACTTCTTCAGAAGATAGGGTTGGAGATTGTTGAAGAGAGTCTTTTCTTCTTGGAAGATAATTATATGCCTTCTTGGGTGTGAAGCCTCACCATACATGCTCAATGGCAACTAGGCCTATGCCAGATACATGCATTTCCCCATATATCTGTATTAGGGGGTATACTGTTCCTAGAGATTATCTGTTCCTCCCTTGTCTAACACTGTCAGCTTAGCATATATAGAGGATTATAAACAGGTGAAATATATCACCTGGGCAGATGAGATATAATTCTTTTTTCCAGAAGAAAGCAGGAAGAATATCCATCTGCATTAAATAAGCATATTGTCTTGGTTGAATCCTATATTGAGAGTGAGAGGAATAGACTCATAGTATATTATATGACCATTCTGAATGTGCATATATTTGCAGAAAACTACACTGCCAGAATGAGCCATTTTTTAAATTTCAAAGTAAGTAAGTAATCCACATGCTATAGACAAGAAGAGGTAAAGACTTTTATATAGCCTAATGAATAGAACAATTACTATGCGTTATTGGGCTACCAAAAAAATATATATATATATACATATATATCTATGTGTCTCTATGATATATATTTTATATATACATATACATACATGTATACATATACATACACATATATACATAGAGACAGAGAATGAGTCTCTGTCTCTCAAGGGTGCATCAAAGTTCCAATAGCTAGTTGATTCTAGGATAATAAACTCATACATATATATTCTGTGACCTTTCTATGATTTTATTCAAAGAAAATAATCCAAGATAATAAAATATTTATATAAAAGAATACAGTAGCATTATTTATAACAGCAAAAAACCTGGAAATAACAAAATATTCACTGTGAGAGAATGGCTAAATAAGTTACAGCATACCGATGCAAAGACCTATTATAAGTCATCACAAATAAAATCTATTTAATGGCATGGAAAAATATCCTTAACAGTACAGTGTAAAGAAAAGGATACAAAATAATATACATAGTATGCTTCAAATTTGGAGGAATAAACTAAAAGAACAAAATACAGATATGCATAGAAAAAATATAAGAATATACAACAGTATTATGTAGTGTCAGTTATATCTGGGTGGTCATATTTTTGTTTCTTTTCTATTTTTCTCCATTTCCCAAATTTTCTACAATAAAATGTATTTGTTTTATATTTAAGATAAATGTATTTAAAAACCAGGCATGCGTGGTCAGTTAACCAGAGATGCAACCAATACAAATAATTTATTTGACTAGTATAAAAACCTGATATAACTTGTTACTGCCATTTCTTAGGAAAAATATAAACAGCAAATACCTGTATCTCCCTTTTCCAACCATTGACTGCAATTTGATTGTTTCTGTGGAGTTAACAATCTAAAATACAATAAACAAAATTTTTATATTATTTACTGAGCTGATAAATTATTTCAGAAATTAAAGCATTTTCTTATTTTTAAAGGTTACCTGAACTGCATAAAATTTTGTGAACTTTTAAAAGGCGTAACATGTGAACACTTTGAATGGTTATTCACAGCAGAGTCATTCAATACCTGAACAAAAGAAATTAAGCATTAGAATTGACTACACAAAACAATAAAATGTTTTGCTTGCCATGGATACTCAGGGCTCTCCAAGAACACTGTCATCTTCCTCATCCTCACTGTTATTATCAACATCAACAACAACTACAAACAAAACATTAAATTAAATGAAACAACTACATACAAAACATTAAGTCAAACACTGGGAAACAAAAAAGGTTTAACTCTCAAGGAATTTGATGTTTTTGACAAGTATAATAACTATGCCTGATAGTATTTCTTCATTTAAGGTAAACTTTAAAATTTTTCTTCCTTATTCATGATTAATCAAGTGAATCTTACCATTTTCTCAACTAATAACCTGATGTCTGTGTCCCTCCATCCCCTATAATCTCACAAATTGACTATAGGAAAGGAAAACAGTAGGTTAAAAGATTAAAGCCTGAAACTTTCTTTTTAAAATATGATATGTATGACAAAGCTAATATTTCATTTTTAACTTTATTTAATACTAATATTATTTATTTATTTATTTTAACATCTTTATTGGAGTATAATTGCTTTACAATGGTGTGTTAGTTTCTGCTTTATAACAAAGTGAATCAGTTATACATACACATATGTTCCCATATCTCTTCCCTCTTGCGTCTCCCTTCCTCCCACCCTCCCTATCCCACCCCTCTAGGTGGTCACAAAGCACTAATACTAATATTTAAATCACTACTTTACTAATGTTTGTATTGTCTGTTTCAAGTCTTTCATTCTCCCTGAGTCACTCATTTTGAAGAGTCACTGATTTTTCTTATTTGACCTGATATTAAAATATCTTTAATAGGAAAGTTTATCCATTTATATTTGTTATAACAGCCACTGGTCTTAATTCTGTCATCTTATGTGCCTTTAGATCATAAGAAAAAGACCTTGTCCCTCAAAGAACACTTGGCCCTTAAAGAACAAGTGTTGTTAGTTTTTGTTTGTTTGTTTGTTTGTTTTGCAGTACACGGGCCTCTCACTGTTGTGGCCTCTCCCGTTGCGGAGCACAGGTTCCGGACACGCAGGCTCAGCGGCCATAGCTCATGGGCCCAGCTGCTCCGTGGCATGTGGGATCTTCCCAGACTGGGGCACGAACCCGCGTCCCCTGCATAGGCAGGCGGACTCTCAACCACTGCACCACCAGGGAAGCCCTACAGTTTTGATATATGTTTTTTTGTTTGTTTGTTTGTTTTTGCAGTACGCGGGTCTCTCACTGTTGTGGCCTCTTCTGTTGCGGAACACAGGCTCCGGACACGCAGGCTCAGCGGCCGTGGCTCTCAGGTCCAGCCGCTCTGCGACATGTGGGATTTTCCCGGACTGGGGCACAAACCCGTGTCCCCTGCATCGGCAGGCGGACTCTCAACCACTGCGTCACCAGGGAAGCCCTTGATGTATGTTTTAAACAATATACATGTTTGTATATTCCTCCTGGTACAAGTATTTGTACAAGTATTTCAAGTAATTGTTTAGAGTAGGTGCCAAGAAGTGAAATTGCTGAGTATTTATTATTAATGAGTACTGTGAACCAGTCCTCTAAAGCAATTGTCCCAAATTATACTCCCACTGGTGTTGACTTCACTAGACATTATCAAATGTTTTAATGTGTGCAAATCTGACAGGTGACACAAGGCACCTCATTGGTTTAATTTGCATTTCCCTGTTCTCCTGAGGTCAGGCATCTTGTTATGTTTAGTGACCCTTAGTCTTTCCTTTTATGTAAGCTGACTTATCTTTTGACCATTTTTATAGTTTTTTAAATTAATTTTTAAGAATTATTATGTATTTCTTTGTATATTATACATTACAGATACCAATCCCCTAAGTGACAATTCTGTCGCTCTTTTAACTCTGTTAGTGTCTTTCACCATACAAAAGCTTTTTTATTTTGATATATTCCATTGATCAATTTGTCTTTTATTGTACCACACTGTTATAATAACTGCATTTTGATAATGTTTAAAAATGTTTGGGGATGATGAAAATGTTCTGAAATTACAGTGATGATGGTTACACTATCTTGTGAACATACTAAAAACCACTGAATTGTACACTTTAAAACAATCAATTTTATATGTGAATTATATCTCAGTAATGAAAGTTTAAAAATAAACATTTTAGGACTTCCCTGGTGGCACAGTGGTTAAGAATCTGCCTGCCAATGCAGGGGACACGGGTTCAAGCCCTGGTCCAGGAAGATCCCACATGCCGTGGAGCAACTAAGCCCGTGTGCCACAACTACTGAGCTTGTGCTCTAGAGCCTGCGAGCCACAACTACTGAGCCCACGTGCCATAACTACTGAAGCCTGTGCGCCTAGAGCCCATGCTCCACAAGAGAAGCCACTGCAACAAGAAGCCTGCGCACCGCAAAGAAGAGTAGCCCCCGCTCGGCCCAACTAGAGAAACCCTCGCGCAGCAATGAAGACCCAACGCAGCCAAAAATAAATGAAATAAAATACTTTATTAAAAAAATAAATTAATTAAAAAATAAAATAATAAACATTTTAATATCTGGTAGTAAGAGTCTCCCTAACATTCTTTTAAAAATCTTTATTTAAAATCATTTATTAATCTATTAATATAGGAAATCATATTGTTAGATTTTTCTTAATGCTAAACAATCATTGTATTCTTTGGGAAAACCAAGGTTAGTCATAATATATTACTCTTTCAATGTTACATTGCAAACTTTGGTTTGCTAGTAACTTATTTAGGAGTTTTACATCTATGTTCATTCTTGAGACTTACGTACCATAATTTTTTTTTTCTTTCACTATCCTTGTCCTTGCTATCTAATGGATTATTCATTTATAATTTGTTGGATAGTTTCCAACTCTTTTTATACTCTGGAATTGTTTGTATAAAAAGGTTATTTAATCCAATGGTTCTCAACTGGGGGCAATTTTGCCTCTTGAGACATTTGACAATGTCTGGAGATATTTTTGATTGTCATAATTTGGGGATGAGGTGCTATTGGACTCTAGTGGGTCACAAGACGACCCCACAACAAAGAATTATCTGACCCAAAATGTCAACAGTGCCACTATTAAGAAACTCTGATCTAATCCTTAACAGTTTGGTAGAATTCAGCTGAAAAATTGAGTCTGGCGTGTTCTGAAGGGCATGTGTGGTGGAGGGAAAAGGGAGGGAAATAAGGGAGAAAAGAGGGAAATAGGTATTTATATACACTTCAGTTTCACTTACATCAGTTTCTTCTAAGTTATTGATCTATTCATGTTTTTCTTTTTCAGTCTATTTAGCAATTTATATTGTGCTAAAAAACTGTCCATCTTACCTAAATTTTCAAGTTTATGGGTATATAGTTTTATAGTATCCTTTTAGGGCTTAGAAAAGATGTCTTACATAAGTGTAGAGATATGCACTTTTCCCCCCTTTTATTCTTTTCTTTTGTTGGGGGGGTATTCTCTTTTTTCTCTACACTTGCTGAAACATTAGCTTTTGGCTATATTAATTAACCCAACTTTTAAATTTCATTAATTTCTACTTTCTTTGCATTTATTATTTTACTTCTGTATTTTGAGTTAAGCTTTTCATACTTTGAGTGCAACTTTTCATACTTAAAGTTCAGCTAATTGTAATCTTTCTTATTTTCTAGTATATTTGTTTTCAAATATAAATGTCTCTCTGAGGGCCAATTTGGCTACTTTTCACAGGTTTGGGTTTATAGTATTCTTTTAAATAGTTTTTAAATTCTATTTTGATTTCTTCTATAACCCAAAAGTAATTTCAAAGTATGTGAATTTCTTTTTTCTCAGCCAAATAGTTTTTTGAGGAGAGGGCTATCTTTTCGTTTAACTTGTATTTTTTTATGCTGTGGTTAGCGAAGATAGCAGCTTTTTAGAATTGGTTGAGATATCCTTTTTGTTCTAGTAAATAGTCAATTTTGGTGAATACTGCAAACAAAATTTAACTGAATTCTGTGTATGTTGGGTTAAAAAGTTTGCTAATTGTGCTACTCAGATCCTCTACATCCTTATTTTTCATCTATTTGATTTGTTCTTATGACAGAAACTGCCAGTTTTCTATCCTATCCAAAATCTACATTTCCTTTGTGTTGTGATTTTAAAAGCAAACAAACAAAAAAGCCCATCATATTTCTCAACCTTTCTGCAGATAGAGGTAGCCATGTTACAAAGTTCTGGCCAATGAAACATTAACATAAATTGTTTAAGGAGCTTCCATAAAAGATCCCTAAAATGAGGCTGACTCAACTAGCCTTTCTCCCCTTCTTCTTTCCTGCCTAGAAGGAAGATATGATGACAAGTTGTAATGGTTAGCTTCTGACCATGAAATAACCTTGAGGTGAAAGCTTAGCGTTAAGGATAGCGGAAAGAAAACACCAATGGAGCTTGAGAAATGATGACATTGTGGAGATGGTGCCACAATTTCCCTCTTCAATACAATTCCTTTAGAAATGTCTTACCGTTTTTGGTCTACTGGGTACAGAGATTGGCATTTTCAAATATCTTTTATTTTTAGAAGTAAGGGGAGAAGGCTACAGTATATGCTCAGGCTGCCATATTGAAACTCTTTTAAGTCTTTTAGATCCTGAGATTGTACTAATGGCTAATTTAATATATTTATAACACACACACACACACACACACACACACACACACACACACGTCCTAAATGCAATACATTCACTATCTCATTTAATGCAAGCACTTAATTTGTACTATTAAAGAAGAAATACCTACCTGAGTGTCACTTTCTTTTTGTCTGAAGTCAATATTGGCAAGTTTTGACTGCTTCACAGAACTTTCTTCTTTTTTATCTAGGTTATTAAATGGTACTACTTCAAATCAATTCCAGAAATAGAATCAAATAGCATGCTCAATATTTAACCTAACCTTGTAATTTTAAAAAATCAAGTTACATTAATATTTAATTTAAATTAAAATAAAGAATTATGAATCACTACATATTCTTAATTCCCCAATATATAATAGCTATTACAATAACCATGAATGTAAAATGAAAAACAGCTGACAAAAATAAATTAATTAAATTAAATTTAAAAAAACAGCTGACAGGGCTTCCCTGGTGGCACAGTGGTTGAGAGTCCGCCTGCCAATGCAGGGGACATGGGT